GAGTGAGCGCACGGTGAGTGGGGTGAGTGAGCGCACGGTGAGTGGGGTGAGTGAGCGCATGGTGAGTGGGGTGAGTGAGCGCACGGTGAGTGGGGTGAGTGAGCGCACGGCGAGTGGGGTGAGTGAGCGCACGGTGAGTGGGGAGAGTGAGCGCATGGTTAGTGGGGTGAGTGAGCGCACGGTGAGTGGGGAGAGTGAGCGCACGGCGAGTGGGGTGAGTGAGCGCACGGTGAGTGGGGAGAGTGAGCGCATGGTTAGTGGGGTGAGAGAGCGCACAATCCGTGGTGTGAGTAAGATGACAATACACGGGATGTATACATACACGGGAGACACAATACAACATAACTCTAGGTTCGTCTAGATTACGTTTCGCGTATAACGGAAGCAAGGACCTAATTAATTAATTAGGTCCTTGGACTATTCACTTAAAATTCACTTATTAAGGACTATTCACTTAAAAGGACATAATTAAGGACTATTCACTTAAAATGACCTAATTAAGGACTATTCACTTAAAATGACCTAATTGTAATTAACGCTTGTCCTATGGCAAGGAATCTTTTGGGAATGATGAAGCAATCATGTCAGACAAGATTTTTTTCATAAACATGCAGCCTCAAAATACCCCATGGAAGGAAGCAATCATCACAAGTTAACCTCCAGTCTCGGTCTCTCGCGTATTTAAATCAAAAAGGACGTGCAGAGAAAAGGGAAGAGATTTGGACTAATGATAAGAAGATGATCCTACAAATCCTATAATCCTATTGTTAAATTGATAAGGATGATGTCCCATAAGAATGATGTCCTATCAATCCTATAATCCTGATAATAAGGACGATGTCCCATAAGAATGATGTCCTATCAATCCTATAATCCTCCTATAAGGACGATCTCCCATAAGAATGATGTCCTATCAATCCTATAATCCTAATGTTAAGGATGATGTCCCACCTTTAGCCCATCCTGTGAGGACATTGCCGAGGTAGATGACTTTGTAGGTAGGATCCTTCTGGCTGATGGTAGCAGTGCGCTTGCGCCACAACTTGCGTAGACTCAAGTTAGGCATCGCGGCGACCACATCCACCCCCTAACAAAATTTAGAGTTGCCCCAGCTTCTATAAATCCAAATCAGAAGCTGCCGCGTCCGTAAATTTTTACTGGGCCGACAAGATCACGATTTGTCCACGGAGATATGATGCCCACAGGGCACAGCTTATAACGTCTTATCCCTCACAAATTCTCTTTACTTTCTCTCTATGCTCGAGGAAAAGTTAGGTGAGAATTGTGATGGAAAACAGTCATAGATATTATGGTCGAACGAAGTATCAACGATGAAAATAAATTTTTTATAGCTGTTCGGAGAAGTCCATTTAATATTTTAGTACGTGCTGTGAAATTGAAATTCATCCAAGCAAAACGACCACGAGAACGCGTTCTTCATTGCTCATCTAAATGTAAAAGAACATGAAGGCGTTTGAAGAAATACTTTGCTCCCCTGAACAGCAGCAAGCAGTCGAAACACGCACTAAGCAAGCCGGTCACACAAATTTAAAAATATCAAGGAAGACAGAGTTAGCGTATTGAAGATAATTCCTTTGTAACCTCCCAGTCAACGAAACAGGAATCTTAACGTGCATAGTAGCCGAGGGTGAAGACAGCTCCAAGCAACGTATCGCAGGACGTACAGAAAGTAGTAGCGACCAGCACCACTATATGTACTTCAGATTGTCCAGTAGATGGAAATGAGCGCAAGATGAGTGAACCTCAGCTGAACGACTAATGTACTTAATACAATTAAGATAAAGAAGAGGACACAGTGTGTTTCTTATTAAGCAGAAGGTACAGAAGGCTCACAATGGAGGTAGAGGCACGGAATAGCACGAGGTTGGGACGCTGGTTATCAAGTTAGGTCGACAACAACAACAACAACGATGAGAGAATCCCCAGGATCACGACGTCGGAGTGAGACTTTAAGTAGGTAATAACAACAAATTCGTAACAAGAAACAACAAGTAAACAACTACATGGGTAAATAATTAACGCTTAAGAAGGTAATGATTATCGTTGAGCAACGAAGCATCCCGTATAAAATATTCGCTACTTGCGTCAGGAAGATGAAACCAAACAGTCAATGCGGCCAACCGTCAAAATATAAGAGAATATATGGAACAATATCGTTATTCTGCCGGTGTTCTCCTCTTTATTTGAGTTTGTGGCCACCGCAGGTCGCGTCAAAGGGCAAGGAAACAAACGCGGGCGCCGGCGCTGCTAAACGAGTCACGTCCGGCCAGCAGGCCTTGATAACCTGCAATGAATAATAAGCGTGAGATGTTTTTTGACTTGAAGTGATAGGTAAATAATAAATTACAATTAAATTACTATGTTTATTCACTGTTCGATAAGATTCAACTCCATTTTTAAATTCGATACATACACATGATACAGCAATTCAAGTTGTAAGCGGAAGTAGAATACCAACTTTCAAGAAGAGGAAAACATTTCACCAAAAAAGAACAAGTTGTGGCAGAATTAAAAGATCTAATTACTGGGCAATACATCAAACAAGACAATACAAACTCTCACCTAAGGTTTTTGGACGACAAAGAATCTCTTTATCCACGCTTGAACAAATCAGCCGTAATGTTGAGTGTTAGCCAGTGTATTAGGAAGCACCGGCGATGTCAAACTTGCAAGGGGGCAAATCCTTCAGAAAGCGCTCGCTGGATAAGACTTTGCTTTGGTGAGCGGGATACGCAATGATGAGAATATGCGAGTCGGAGAGTTGGTAGCATTCTCGAGGCGAAGGCCTGGATAAGAGGTCACTTGCGACGGTACGTAGAACACGTATAAGAGGTCACTTGCGACGGTACGTAGAACACGTATAAGAGGTCACTTGTGACGGTACGTAGAACACGTATAAGAGGTCACTTGTGACGGTACGTAGAACACGTATTAGAGGTCCCGTGCGACGTAGAACGCGTATACCGAGGATATAGGAGAGTGTGACTAGACTTACAAGCGGAGGCTTAGGATGGGAGTGTGTGCATGGGAGCCAGTGAGACAGTGAGTCGAACACTGAGAACCAGAGAGACCCGGCAGATGTAGGCGATGTTAGACTCACATCAATAATTCAGAAATAAGACAGAAGGAGCTTGAGGTGTAGTTTTGAGGCATACTTTTCCTCTTTACTTGATGCTGGACAGTATTTGTACGTCTATCATTTGCATAGAAATGAGAGTAGTTTGATTCTTGTATTATTAGATTCCAGGTTATTTGTGAAAGGCGTAGGATGATTTCAGGGTATAGAACTTATCTCTATAGACAGAACTTAATCTCGAATAACCAACAATATAGGGTGCCTCTAAATATGTAACAGGGATGTTAAGGTTCTAAGTACATGAAGTTCAGAAGTTGAAGCGAGTGAAGAGGCAGGGATGTAATCAAGGCATGGTTGATTCCGTTGATGCATTGAGTGAGCAGCTCAGGGCCTCGAGATCTGCAACACAAACAAACTAGGTGAAACATTTGTTAAAATTACAAGCATGAAGTTACATATATTATCACGCCCTGCAATCTTGAAACTTGATTGCAGGGCTATTCTTATTTGCACTTTATACGCGAGTTGAATAGAGAAAATGGGGTTGATCACTTGCTTGGAATAATAATGGTTTATATCCGTACTTCTGAAGCAGCATTGCCACGATTTTTAAGGTTATGGGCCTTAGGTCGCCCAAAAATGTTTAGGACACTCGTGCCACTGGAAGGACTAGGTTTAAGACTGTAGTCCTACGGCAGTGCAGTTATAGCAATGAAGCTGGGGCCATACTTTCAAAATTCGCTAAGTGAACGTAAGCACTTACGCTCTATTTTCTTGTCTATGATTGGTGGATTTTGCTGGAAAAGCCGTCAATGATTGGCTGATGAACTTACGATCTCTTAACTATTTTTGAAAGTATGGACCCTGGACTCTGACCGTCTTAACATGGCGGACCTGAGCAATTTCTCATCTTAATTATGAGGCTAAATTTCTGTGAGAAACTTCGTTGGGGTGACGTCAGAGGGCCGAACGGACCTCAATACCTCACATAAAAGAGCCCTTAGGAGACTAAGAGATTCAAGTCGCGTACAACATACAACATTTGGAGTTAAAAGTTGACAAACATTCATTTGATCCAACTGAGATTCATTGTTTTCGCCAAATTCCCTTTAAATCATTGTGAAAAAAACAATGAAGGACAAACGGAAAATATACGATTGGCCAACAAAAAGACGACATCACCGTAAGGATTAACTTACAAATTTTTTTTTTTATTGCTTAATGCTTTTTATTGCTTTTTTATTGCTTTTTTATTGCTTAATTTTTATTGCTTAATACAAATTATTGCTTAATTGAACACCGTAGGAAATAATAAAAAATTGAAGAGATTAACTAGAAAATTTCTAATAGAACTAGGCGAGAGCAAGCAGAACTTTTATTCCATTCAATTAGTGAAGCACTTGCAATGAGCAAAAGAATGCACGTGGCCGGCCCGGACGAGGCAATGGCTTGCGGGTTCGCACCAAACACAGCAAAATGCTGATGACGTCAACTATACGTGGTCCAATTAGTGAACACAAATGCGGCACTTTCTGTGCTTTTTAGCGCATTTTCTCATTTATGAGAAAATGCACTATTGCTCTCGCCATGTCCGTCTGTCCGTCTGTCTCTCCGTCAGTGACCTCAAGTTTTCGTCGACGAGAAAATGCGCTCTCTGTCACTCACTGCAGTGAGTACTGAGTTAAATTTTTTTTTAATTTTAAGCACGATCCAGTGTACTTTTTACCAGTAATATCGTTAGAAATAGGAATATGCCACTGGCAGCAGAAATTCCTAATAAGTACAAGGATGAACTGAAGCACTAACGACCTCCTTCACTTTCGCAATTGCTGGCAAATAACTTTCGCGATTGAAGACATTTTTTGTTGCATTTAGTCTTGTACTATTAAAGCCTTAACTGCATCAGTAATTAGGCAAGAATAACATTTTTATTTAGCCTATAATTGGGTCAACTTTATTAGCAGTCCACTGTTGATACCTTGCGATTAGAAGTGAGCTCAGATCGAAGCTTGTAAATTGTCAGTCAAGAGAGGCGCAAGCATTCAACTGTTACGTAAATAACCCACGTCCATCGTGAACTATTACAGCGAGCATCATTGCTGCAATGAATTCAAATGAATTACCTACGCTTTTTTATAACAACATCTCTTGACATAGGAGAAATAACATGAGCTACAACTTGGCAGATAGTTAGGCCCAATTAACGTGCCTACATAAGGGTAAGCTTCTGAATATAAATACATAGCTGTAATATATAATTGCCGCGTTGAAACTTACGCTCAGTCAAATGCCATACAAACAATGCAATTCCGAGATAAAAAAAAAACATTCATTAAATTAGATAAGTGAACGATTCCATCGGAACGATTCCATATCGAATGACTGAACGAAAGTCATTCACTCATTCAAAAATCTCAAGTTGCAAACTAGACAAGGAATTGTAACGTTCATCAAATAGAAGTGAAGATTAGAGAACTGCAACGTCGGCGCCTCCGTCACATGACGAGTTCATTTGTACCTGCAGCATCGCTCACATCAGAATGCATGTCAGAGCGGCAGCAGAATTAAAACAGGCATTACATGAGAGTCTATAGCAGCATTAGTTTAGTAGCAGCAAAAGTACAGCAAAAGGAGCAGCAGGGATGCAGCTTCACAAGCAGTACAGCAGCTGCAGCAGCAGCAGCAGTGCAGCAGCAGCAGCAGTGCAGCAGCAGCAGTGCAGCAGCAGCAGCAGCAGCAGCAGCAGCAGTGCACCAGCATGCAGCAGCAGCAGCACCAGCATGCAGCAGCAACAGCAGCAGCAGTGCACCAGCAGCAGTACCAGCATGCAGCAGCAGCATGCAGCAGCAGCAGCAGCACCAGCATGCAGCAGCATGCAGCAGCAGCAGTGTCGTACGTCACCTCTTAAAGTGGCATCACCCAGGAGATCGGCCGCTACCGAGCAGATATAGCAGGAGTCCGCGGCAGCTCTCATCCATTCATGGATCTCTATTACTATCACTGCTAAGAGAGCCAACCATCGCACGCAATACTCACGGCAAAATATTGGGTATATCAGGTCATAACCATCCCAAAACACAACCAGATAATATGCTACACAGTTTTATTATACAAAGACAATACATATTTATCTCAATCAGTTTCTATGACGGTAGTTCAGGAATCTTCGTGAAAACTGATAACTGATAACAATCACATTCATGGCCCAGATCGCTATCATCGACCAGGTTTATTTCCCAAAACCTAAGAATCCTGAGCCACAAGGAAAAAAAATTCCTCGGAGGTGCGGAAATAAGAGCCAAAAGATCAATATTGGCGGAAACGCCCCGGTACTGAAGAGAAGCCCGGGAGGAAAGACGCCAAAATTTTTTGCGACTCGTGAGAAACTTGCGCATTAAATACCGGCTATAAATTCCCCGATAAGAAGTTTGTAAGCCACCGGATAAAGTTGGAGGAAAAAGGAAAGCAGTTACCAGACCTGAGCTCAAAAGCTACATTAACGATGTGACGGCAGGCAGTTCAAGACGAGGCAACCACGCTGAAATTTTCTACAATATTTGAAATTTAACACAAATTTATTTAGAAAATTGAATTTGATGTTATATAATCACCGTTGAAATGTAATGTACATATTAAACAGCTTTTTCAACGTTCTGAAACTAAACTTCGCTAATACTAAACATGAAATCTTGCAGAAAAGTTAGGGTATCATATATATAAATATATTATAATATATTATAAATAGGTTTCATAGCTTAAGCACTTCCCTTATATATATATATATATAGGAATTCTGAAAGGACTTACAATTATAGTCCTAACTTGATTACATTCAATGAATAGTGCCTTATTTCATAATTAACTATCAAAGCATTCGCAACGGTTTTGTAGCTTCTCTCTCTATATCTTTCTTGAGTAAAGACTTTGAAGAATCATCCGCATTTTCTGCATCTATCCCGTGTCCCGGCAAGCAGTCCGTTGCCAACAGTAACGCAGTCATGGTTATAGGCATGAATTAAACCTTATTTAGTACCTCATGGATCAGTTTCTAGTACTCCCATAGAAAAAAATAAAAAGTAAAGACTTAGTGACAACTTCAGCTGTGAGGGACATGGGGGACAACCCCACATCATCAATAAACAAATAAACAACAACAACAAACGCAGTCATATTCTCCCCGTCGCACGCTCATCATGAAGTCATCACCAAACAGTTCTACAGCAAGCAAGCAGGTGACCGGCATATCCTCAACCCTATCCAAGACATCTTGATGTCTTCTAGACCAAGATGGTTCTCAGCAACCTCAGCTCTGTTTATCTGGCACAAACCATCTCTATATGAAGCAGTTGAGAACTGAGGAGTGATCGGTCAATGGTTGCTAGCAAGTGCGCACGGAAGAGGCCACGGTGGACACTTGGTTCCGTATCGCTGCAGTCTGGGCGACGTAGTTGAACTTTGGGGCTTTGGATAAAGCATGAGGAACGCCATGTCAGCATTTGGATACCAGCACCAAGGCGCCCGGGGATGTGAGAGCCAGCAATCAACGTACTCACCTAGTTCTGCATGTATGGAAGTGAGCTACGAAACTTATGCGCAGTGCTACTAAAGCTTTTCATAGTGTCTCGTTCATCCATTGGAGAGACTGCTACCACTTGTGTCCTAATAAGTTAATTGATAATTAGAAGTCCTACTTCTATGTTACACATTAACGTCTATGTCATTTTAAATAGAAATTTAAGCTCTTCCATAACCTTACAATCTCTTGGAACTTAGAACCCTTGTACAATTCCACTAGGACGTCTCGTTAAATATCTTTGATTCCATCATCTTTGTACCTTTTATCGCAAATTGGTGTTTATTCATATGTGCAGTTTGGACTCCAATTTTCGGCGAATAGCGGGCGAGGATTCTCAAGTTCGGGAGGCGCGTCCGTTGTTAGCCACTATATATAGTATTGCTGCCCACGGCTCCCGTGACGCAACTCGGAGAATCGGCGGTATATCAATAAATTACAATATCCCAATTCACGCTTTTCTTAAGCCGTCACTCGTTCGTGTTTCCAAACAAATTTGGCCAAATAATGAAATGTCATGCGGAGCTATGTCAGCACGCAATTGTATCCATATCAAGAAGATGTTATACATGAGGTATTAGAGGGTAATAACATGCGTGCTTCAAGACATTTTGACATGGAATTAGAAGACATGGTAACATGAGATGGGAAAATATATTCATACACAATTCAAGGAAGTATATAATGCTATGCAATTGAAGATGCATTCCAATGTAGTTTGGAAACAAATTAACCTGCAAGGATTTGTAATTACAAACCAGTATTTTATAAATTAGCATGTTAAATAGAAATCTTTTTACGTGCAAACCGGAAAAAAATATAAAGA